GAGCAGCAAGCGTGTCTGCAGCATCCTTGGCAGCTTTCTCAGTCGCCGCCTTTGTTTGAGCAGCAAGCTCCTTGGCATCTGCTGCAGCCTTGTCTGCGGCCGCCTTGGCATCTGCCGCAGCCTGGTCTGCAGCCGCCTTGGCGTCTGCTGCAGCCTTGTCTGCGGCCGCCTTGGTCTGAGCAGCCAGCTTCTTGGCAGCTGCCGCCATCTCATCAGCTGCCTCCTGGGCCTTTGCCTCAGCTTCCGTGGCCGTGGGCAGCGCAGGCGTGGCCGGCACAGCGGGCGTGGCCGGCACAGCGGGCTCGGCAGACACCTCTGGTTCCTCAGTTTCATCTTTGGGGGCCACTTTTTTCGAGACCTCAGCGAGGGCGCCCCCCAAGCCCTTCAACAGATCCAAGCCCTTGGCATCAGTGGAAGCTGCGGCTTCTTCCGTGGGGGCAGCAGCTTCTTCGGTGGTCTGGGATGCGGCGTGCTCCTTCTTCGGTTTCTTCGCCTTGTCGCCACCACCCAAGAGGCCGCCCAAAAGGCCGCCCAGGGCTTCGCCAAGGTCATCCTTGGAGTCATCAGAATCCTTAGACTCCTGAGCAGAACAGAGCGATCACATCTGAGCAGAACAGGGGGGAAAGGGGCCCAGAAGGCTTGGAAAGAGACATCCTGCACTTCCCTGCGCTAAAACAGGGTATGGGCCACAGTGGAGGCCCCACTTTTCAAGCTAACCTGGTGCCTCCCTTTGTGCTGCTCGGTTAGGTAAGGTTAAAAACCACGATGCATTTGCCTGTCTGGCCGCCAGAAACCTCCCTGGTTCATAAGAGACTCTCTAAATCTCTGCCATGGCTCTGTAGCAGCGCCCTTCGGCTTCTTCCCCTTGTCGTCCCCACCAAAGATCCCCGACAAGAGGCCGCCCAACGCCTCGCCCACGTCGTCCGAGTCGTCCTTGGAACCCTTGGACTCCTGAAGATGGTTCCCTGGGAACCTTCCACCGCATGACCCAAAGTAATTCAACCATCCTGATAAGCCAGCAAAAGACGGTCAACGCACAATGGTGACTCTTGAACAGGGCATCTCTGTGGAACAATCGAGGAACCTGCCACTGGCCCTCGCCTGCATGATTCCATCACGAGGAATTATCAGCAACTGATAGGGCGGAGAGCTTCAACCAATGGGACATGCCGTGACCATTCACCGCTCGGCGGCCGCGCCACGTGGCGCGGAGAGCGCTCAGGGCAGTCCACTGATCGCGGTTCTTGCTGTGTGCTGGTTTTGGGGTCGCCCTGGTGGACGCGTATGGTCTGAGACGGACCAGGTGAAGTGCACGTGGTGAAGTGCAAGGTCGAAAGCTGCAAGGTGAAGTGCAAGGTCGCAAGGTGGAATGCGGTATGTGTGGTGAAACGTATAATATGGCGGATCTTTGAGCCTTTGAGCCTGTGACATGGTCATGTGCAATGTGGTTGCTTGTGGTGTATGAAATGTACTGCGAGTGGAGTGTGGTACAAAAACAACCACAAGTGTTTTTGGCGTTTTTGAAGCAGCATTTATATATGTACATATATCGATATAGAATGATATAGATATAAATATATAAGATAGATATGTGACCGTGTGTGCTCTGTATAACCGTATGCAAAGTGTCGTGTGGTGAAGTGGTTCGTCGTAAGGTTTCCGTCTGTCTATTTGTGCTTGCGGTGAAGTGAGTAAGAACCCCGAGTTCCTAGTGATGCATCCTGGGGGTCCTAATGGGTGAAGTGATGCGCTACTTGTATGACTTGTGATGTGGTCTCAACTCCCTCTTTCTAGCTGTCGCACAGCTGCCTACCTGGAAACTACCTGGGAACTACCTGGGGGTGCGAGGGCCCACGCCCACCAGCAACATACCAGAACTCAGAACTTTCGTGTCAAAATGCCCTTGGAACATCTTCGAATGCAGGATAGACCCCTGTCCTTTGGAGCCTTGGCCTTCTTCTCTTTCTTCTCAGGCTTGGCCTTCTCTTGACCGGGCACTGGGTATTCCATGAGCGCCTTATAGTCTTCCTTCATCTCCTGATCCGCCGCCTTCTGATCGTAGTCCGTGATGTTCAGAAAGCTCTGATCCTTGTTCCAGAACTTGTTCTTGAAGATGTACAGGACTCCGGTGGATGAGATGTTCTTACATGGGCTCAACATCTCCAGAGGGTCCAGCTGCTTCATGCCCGCAAGTTCAACCACTTCCTTGCTTCCAACCTGAATCTTGGTCCCCAAAATGTCCAAGTAGTTGGGCACTTCCTTCTTGAAGCCCGAGATGTTGGCTCGGTTCACCGTGTTCATGCCGGTCAAACAACTTCCGATGGGCCCTTCACCGGCATAGATCAGGTCTCCCGCCTGCTTGTTCAGGATCTGCAACACCACGGTGTAGGTCAACTTCAGACCCTTGGTCGAGCCCGCCACGTCCACGGCACACACATCCGAAGGCACGCACATGGACGTGTACGCGTACTCCTTCCAGGCCTTGTTCTTGAAGTTGTACAAGTAGTTGCAGGTGGCGTTGCCCTGTCGGGTCAAGGCATCGAGCGCTCCGGGGGTACTACACTTGCCCTCTGAGACATACTGCTTCTTGATCTCATCCTCTGGAGAGCCACCTGGACCTCTGGTGAACTGGTTGGTGTTGACCTTCCAGGCGATCTCATCCGCCAAGTGCGCTGCTGCACCACAGCACTCCACCAACAACGACAGGTCCCCGACGCCCGGATTGATCACCTCGTAAGTCGAGGTGTGACGAGGACGACGCACAGAGCGACTTGAAGCTTTTGGTCCAAAGCCTTTCTGGTACATGAGAGGGAGATGAAATGACGACCTCGCAAAGTATTTAGAGGGCCAACATGATTCGATCCAATTCTGAAACCCCCCACCTGAAGTAGCACAGTGTAAGTGCCAATCATGCCACCCATCGTCAGGTTCCCTGCTTCCTTCACCACACTGCCGGACACGGATTGTGCCGTGCGGGCGTACGCATGCGCGCCGGCCAGAAACGTGGACAAAATGAGAGCACCTCGGTGGAACAAAAGGAAGAGAGAGAGAGAGAGATTTGGCAAATCGAAAATGAAACACAGCTCTGATCGCTGGAGAAGGGGAAAAGAGTCGCCGGGAGAAGGAACCATATGACTGGATGGCGATCGACGCTGGAAAAACCGGGGGCCGATCCTCAAAGGTTTCTTGACCGGTCGTGGGCGTGGGCAACATCTCCGCTCACATAGATGTGCAAACAATCAAAAATGTATATATATATATATATACACAGCGAATATTATATATACCATATATATACAGTGTATATATATGTTATGTTTTTTCTATATTGACTCTGTGTGCGTATTCTATGGAAACCACGCATCTCCCCTCCATTGCATGGATGTCAAACGACTTCACCAAAGAGAGTGCTATTTGAGGTCTGTGATTCGGTTCAGCTGGTCAACCTTTCGGCATCTTCTGAACAAAAAACGCTGCCCAGGCTCGCATCATCGTGGCAAAAGGTCGAGAGTTCCGCACTCGTGGTGTGAGCCAAAGTCAGCTACAGCTGGCAGCCGAATTAATTGTGTTTTATCATGAACATACCGTGATGTACAGGTCATGTAAAGAATCCACTATCGATTTGGGCGCGACACGGCCACCAACTGAAGTCTGACATATCTGACACCAACCAGTGCTTTGAGGTGCTGTGAAGAAGTCCACTTCGATGTGCATCCGCACACATTCTATGGCGCCATCGATGTGAATTCAGAGAAACAAATCACAATGCTTTGGACTCTTGACTTGATTGAGCTGTGTTTTCATCCGGAGAGACAAAAAACACGACCTCTCCAGCCCCGCATGCTTGCGTCACCTCAGCGTCTGACTCCAGGTCGACGCTCTCCGCCTGCCAGGACCCTACAACCAAACCTAGGAAAGGCACAAAGTAAAAAACTGAGAACCAGAGGTCGGATGCTGCTTGGGGTTGTTTTGGGTGCTGTTTTGGAACGTGGCGAGGGGGTCCTGTACCCCCCCTCTGGCACCTGGAGCCTGGAGCATTGAGTCTGAGTTGCTTCTCTGCGTTGCTAATCCCAAGAAGAGATTCTGAGCCGTGCACTGGAACCAGAGAGGAGTGGAACAGAAACCATCAGGAAATCCTCTCCTTCCATCATGTCCTTCCCAGGGCATACCACCTCCCATGGCATAGCTCCCATGGCATACACCCGAGTCGCCTCATCGAGGTGCCCAATGAGCTCCAAGAAATTTTCCTGCGAAATCCGCGCGATGCGCAGCCGCCGCTCCTGGCGGGGGTCGGACGGTCCGACTGCCCCTGGAAGTGGAGAAACCCCAGTTGGTAGAGGACCAATGGACCCAGACCTGGGGGGGCCCATCCACTTCCGAAATCCCGTTGAGGATCGCATCAAAGAAAGTAAAGCCATGAAAAGAAATCCGTTTCTGGAAATCAAGGCTTGTCAACTACACGTGCTGCACCGGGTCACATAAGGCACTTGGGGCTATCCTTCTTCTGCCTTAGTTCGTCTACAGGATGTTCACCGCCAATCACCACCACAGCGCCACGGCTTCTCCTCGGGCGAGGCATGCCGCAAGGTGTCCATCAAAGCACCTGAGAGATCGCGAAAGAAAGAAACATCCTCATAATCATGTGGCTGTGGGTGATGGCACCCGGATACCTCTTTCGCTACATGGTGGGCTGATCCCCTCCCATCCAGCTGGGTCACGACCCATCCCCACGCGCGAGAACTCCAAGCGCAAGCTCCAACATGATTCTCAAAAAGAGAACTCCAACCCGTTGCTTCCCTGCCGTCAGGATGAATGCAAACCCCATTCTGTGGAAGGTCGGCCAACCACAGCTTCAGCAGGTTTTTTGGGCGGCAATTTCTTGAATCCCAATGTTGGTGGAAACGTCGTTATTCCATCCCCCTTGATTGTTCATAGGCGCTGCGATTTTGCATGATAAACCATTGCTGCTTATAAAATGAGGGGGACAGGTATTTTCGTTTATAACATGCAAAACCAAGTAGTTTCTAAAATGACCTAGATAGATCCAGGAGCCAACGGAAGGCGGAAGCAAAATGATGAAATGAGATCCGTCCGAAGGGAGGGTCCGTCCGACATCGCAACTATAGCCTCCAGTTGTTTGGGAACGGCATGTGCACAAAAAACAAACCATGAAGCGCTGCATCACCGTTGGCTATCATGGCCAGCCCCGTCCTTCCTCAAAGAGAACCCCCAACAGTACACTGTTTGGGGGGGAACCCATCAATGGTAGGACAGAGTCGGACAGAGGACCTCTCACTGGACATTCTCACTGATCCCTGGCGCCGCCCTCAGGTCGCCACTCAGGCTTGTTTGAGGGCTGCACCTGGCAACGCGAGGCAACTTCTGACCCAGTGAGCTAGTGTGATAGCCGCTGGCCGCTAGCCTCAGCTCTTGGACTCTTCTCTCGGCGACGTTCCCCTGCCTGGAGGCTTCAGGTGATGTATCACAGTCGATGTCCTCGGCCAGCAGAGTGACTGGCAACGGCCAACGTGACCGCGATCCCCAATCAAGGGGAAGAGTCAGAGTCAGAGAACACACCCATGGACTGACAGAATGGTGTAGTCAAATCGAAAATAGACCTCTGGAGCAAGTCGGCGTGTTCGGGTTCTATGTTTGCCGGCGTGTCCGAAAGCAGTCGTGAATTTGTGCCAGGTCCCTCACGCAAATCTCCTCCAAAAGAAACATCCAGGTTCTCGATGACTATCTATACAAAAATATATACACACATAGGGCTCCACCCTTATTCAACTCAAGCAGCGAGAAACTTCACTTGCGCTGCTTGCGGTCGCGAGACGATGCCAGCATCCCAATCCACGTCGCCCAACAGCTCCTTGTCGATGCGGATGTCCTGATGAGTTCATGGCGTGGCAGCTGCGATGTTTGACAAATAGTGAAGTTCAGATCAGAGGAACCATCTCTTTTGCAAGATTGCAAAGTGGCTACGACCAGCTCAGTGTGTTTCGGAGCACCCCGTCAATGGGAGGTCAGTAGTTATTGTCGCCACCGGATTGCCGGGATGCCCTTTCAAGTGCCAACTCGACATGGTCAAGCCGGAGTGTATCGCATCAGTGAAGAGCAGTTTGGGAAAATCAGCAAACCCAAAACACTGATTCTGCTTCAGGATGCTTCACACCGCTCTCCAGCCGGCACCCTCCCCGCAGTCCTCGCCCCAACGGAACACATCGGCCTCGAAGCCTGCTAGGGAGTTGTCCAGCCTGCGTGTGGGAACATCTCTCCAAAGGAGTTCCCAATAGATGAATCTACTGCTTGCCGCTTTCAATTGCACTTACTCTCACTCGCACTCCTCACTCCTCACTCCTCACTCCTCGCCCCCTCACTCCTCACTCCTCGCCCTCTCTCTCTCTCTCTCTGAGAGAACTCCATCTTAAGACCAACCAAATGAGCCGACCAGATGGGGACGAGATGGAGCTTCGGTCTTTAGCCTGGACAGCGTGTGACGCATTTTCTCTCTTTCTCGGGGCGGTCGGTCGGCTCTCTGCTCAGCGGAGGGGGTTTAATTCTTCGCGCGCAGGAAGCAGACGTAGCCAACCACCACCAGAAGGAAGGTACCAAGCAAGAACCTCAGGGCATGGCAAGTCACCGAACCCAAGATCTTATAGTAGACTCTACTTTGTTTATATAAGGCTCACGGTCGGCCATTGACGTTCGGGTGGTCCAAAAAGAGTTTTGTCCTCCGAGCTGCACTAAGTTGGTCATGAAGTACATCGCAAAGGCTTCCTCTCGCGGAACACTCATGTCCCCAATGGGATTCGCAGTCCACTCAAAGAAGAGCGGGTGAACGGATTCGAGGTGAAAGCCCACTTCTGCAAAGCGAACCGCCTGCCGGTAGTTGTACTCCTAGGCCAACAACGACAAGGGTCGTTTCAGCATGAAAAAAGTTGCCAAGAAGACTCATGTACGATAGGCGGAGGGTCATCAACAGAGTCTGCAGGTAAACTAGATACAACAAGAATCCAAGTGGAAACCCTTTGTATGTGTTGTGGCCTCCACTGCAATTAGCATCACTGACAAGCCCAACGGCAACATGTCACGCAAATCATATAGAATATAGAAAAGCAAAGCAAAAGCACGCGAGGAAGCTTGCTGCCCAAGGCTCATCTGCTGGGTCAAGCAGCCTGGCCACACCAAGACAGAAAGAAGAAAGACTCCTATCCTCAAGTCTCATCCCCTCCACCCTTCAGAAAATGCTTGTCGAACCACCCACCACTACCAGCACTACCATCACTACCAACACCGCGCCTCAAGCCACCCCGTGCCACGGCGCTCTTGGCTGCCCCACAGGCGAAGCCTGCTCCAGTCTCCCCACAGCAGTCCTTCCCAGCCGCCCAAAAGTCGAAGGTGGCTGGCAGCGCTTGGTCGTTGGCGGCGATGATGGGCACCACGCAGAAGGTGGAGCCGTTCTGATGCCTCGGAATACTTGATTGCACAGCAAAGTAGAGGAGGACAGGTCAGAGACACGACCACCACCACCACCACCACCACGACGACTACGACTACGACTACTACTACTACTGCTGCTGCTGCTACTACTCCTACTCCTACCTTTACAGGGTGACGTTGTGGACAGGGGGGCAAAGCGCACGGCTACTACTTTCTCGGGGTCGTCCTGCACTGCACTTTGCCACATCCGGTTCCCGACTCCACGAGCGCCCAAGTGCGCAAAGCTCCGGTGGTAGTCCAAGCGAGATCCTTTGGTGAAGATCACTCGCCCTGCATCCAACATCTCTTTTCCGAAACTGCGCGCTGGATTGACCTGCCAGGAGGTGGATGAAGCAATATCAAAATGTTACGTGACGTGCATGTTTTATGTATACATATATATATATAGTATATAAATAGTGTGCGTATACATGTGTATGTGTATATATATATGTGTGTGTATATATATATATATATGTACATTCATATACCCCTCTCTATGTAATATATATATACACACGGTGGATAGGTTGCATCAGCAGGAAGAGCTAAGACCACGGAAGGGATGCTAACGTTGGAAGGTATATTGGTGGATGTGGCAAAAAGAAGAAGAGCAAGGACCTCTCTGATCGCATCCCTTCGGATCTAATGCGAAAAATGCAGCACTAATTGTTCTGTCTTCAAGTGACATTCTACTGCATGTTGCAGCTTCTGCTGCTTGCAAAGTTCCTGTTGCCTTTCTGGAGTTCTACCCCTGCCAGCATTCAAACCGCCCCTGCCAGGCGACATTGTCATAGAAGTCCAAGTCAGTGATGCTGTAGTACTTCTTCATGTAGCCTCGACAGGGCGACTGGCGCGGTCAGTCAGTCTGGATCATGCTAGTGGCTTGGACTTCCCAGGTCGCGACTGCCAAGAATGAAGCACAAACCGGAAGGCAGCGCTAAGAAGTCCCCTTTCGCCGCGTGTTTCAAGCCAGGCCCCCTTTTGCCCTTGGCTGTCTCACTGGAGCCCCCGCTTTGTCCATCCAAGGAGCTGTCTCCAATCATCGTTCCAACGACCGATCCTGCAATAAAGGCCACTAAGCAAAGGACTGCAAGACCTCCCCACCAGAAGTATGCGCGCAAAAGGCCTAAGTATGTGAGCAAGAGCGCACTTGCGCTTATTCTTGCGGCAGGTGACAAAAAGGTCGAACCTGCAAGAGCTACTACCCAAGTACTTGGTTGCATGTCTACTCCACCAGAGAGGAGGAAAAAAAGGACACTGAGAAAGACGCGCCAAACTATCGTAAGCCTCTGACACAAGACAATCGAAGTGCCCCTCACCCTCGACACTCCACGGTCGCTTCCAAGTCACGTGGCTCAGCTTCCCCAATCCTCCCGCCCTTGCGCAGCCACTGCACGCGGCACATGGCAGCACAGACCATCAGCAGCACCACTAGGGATCCAAAGAAGCACAAGACCACCAAGCGGATCGAATGGTACAAATGGACCTGAAGAAGGATCGGATGGTTCGTTCAGTTGACGTGTTCGATGCCCCTTCGCTCCTTTGGGTGCTTGGCGGAAGGCCATGGAAGACCTAGAAACGGAGCAAATGCCAAAGAAGGCCCTTGGGGAATCAAACAAAACAGTAAGCACGAATCACTGCAAACAAGGGTTCTCTAAGCACCAACAACAAAACCTGCCAAGAATGAGGAACTGAAGCCAGAAACAGTTGAAATCACATGACCCCATGATCACCGGTTTTGAGGAAGCAGCACCTGCACAATCACTGCTTCACCTTTGTGTGGGTGCTCACCAAGCGGAGAAGGGGCAATTCCACCGGCGGTTGTCCTCCTGAAAGAGAAAACAACGGTGCACGTCTAATGCGCGAACGCGACCTCGGACGCGTCGGTGAACACAGAACAACTCACTCGAGGGGCCCATCTGCTCATGAGCGCCCAGGTCAAGGTGGCAAAGAAGGCCCAGGGCGCCAGCATCAGCAGCGCTAACTGCACGGTGCTAATCACCAGCGAGATGGGGCCGCTGTTCGTCGGGCCACTGGCGGCGCCATAGCTGGGCTTGGACATGGAATAAGGGTTCATCCCAGGTCAGGTCAGGCCTTCCTGAAGGGACTGTCGAAAAGCCTTTTGGACGACCTCACGCGCCAGTTTCCGCGCCAGGCGCAACTGGCCGAGGCGGGTCGAAGTGTTCAGTTCGCAATCGGATTACACGAACCTTTTGAGCCGACAGGCTCTGTCAGGCAAATGACTCCGCATGCAAATAGTGAATGATTTTTAATCATGTGCTACACTGCTACACCAAAAAAAATATTGCACATTGCATCATGCCCACAAACCTGAGCTCGGTGTAGTTCGTTTGTATCTCGATCACGAATGATCACGAGGCATGCTTGCAAAAGGGTGTCGGTGTCGGGCGTGCTTATCAACGTGGCAACCCAAAGCACAGGCAATCTTCATCCTCAAAGTGCCCCAAAAAGTCCAAAAGAAGTCGCTTTGCTAAGTCAGCAAGCCCGTGCTCTAGGCCAGAAGCCTACCAAATGTTGTCCCAACTAAAGGTATCACTCACCACTTCTACGGGGACTTCTACCATCTCCCTCGCCTTGCCCCCCCTCGCCTTGCCCCCCCCTCGCCTGGCCATTCGCGCTTGAAGAGCCTCCTACAGCCAGACTCGATCCCCCGAGAGAGACCGGAAGGAACTTGGACATGACCCGAAGGCGTGTGCCGAGCTTTGGAAAACTTGGAGGCCTTGGAAGAACAAAAGACGTACAAATGAAGACCTGCCCCTTCCATGTCACACGCTGAGCTTCACAGAGCAAGGCAGGAAATGACCGCAAGAAAACATGGTTAGAAGTTAGAAGTCACATCAAAAATGACTTTCCCACCGCTACTCAAGCTTGCTGACTCCAGCCACAGGGAAAGGAGACTAAGTAGAAGCCTCTTCCTCGTCCTTCCCAGCCTCCGAATGTTTGATCATGGGCAACGACTCCTCTACAACTTGCCGATGATTCAAGGGGACGCCCTATGGATGTCATCTCAGCTCCTTCTCCGCGAGTAACGCCCGGAGCTCCACCTCATCCGGGCTAAGCTGCTAAGAGTGTCCATGTGAGGAGACCCAGTTCCTACACTGCGCCGTCAAAACGGGTTTAAGATGGTTTAAGGATCCCCGGGAGGTTCCTACCAGTACCCTCCAACAGGTCACCACTTGCGACTTTTAGGTCAGCAAAAGCCTCCAGAGGAGACCTGTTGGAGGGTGCCGGTAGGTGTCCAATTCACCAACCATACTATCATTCATTAATTCACCAAAATATTGTAATCACTTCATAAGCCCCAAAAAAACATTATTGTGAATTACACGCTGTGTAACATGCGGTTGAGATGAACCCTATGCACCCATCCGGAGAGGGTGGGCTCAAATGAGTGAAAACGGGCGACCCGGGCGCGGCGGCTTCGGCTGCCCTTCAATTCGATCGTGTGCCGTTCGAACCTTCGCTTTGGTTTACTTCGTGTTTTCCTGCAGCTTGGTTTGGCACCCTTGTCAGCGGACTTCGTTTGCCACTGGCATTTCTACATTGGTAGCGGAGCCCGAACCCGGGTCTGGGTGAGGGCTCCCGCGCGCACTCTGCTACAACGACCTCGAGCTGATCGCTGGTACCAAGGTCTTCGTCACCTTCCCTTTGTGGGTTCCTTCCCGATCTTGTTTGCTGAGTTCTTTGTGGAACACCCTACGGGAAGGATCTTGGCATCCGCCACTCCGGCGCATGTCTCAGAAGAAGGGACAACAGCGAGGAAGAGGACAAGCCACACAACCCGGCTCCAGTTCGATGACATCCAAAGAGGAGAACAGCTATGCCGACTTACGGGACTCCTTCGTTCCACTGTTCTCAGGACAACCAGCTGACTACAAAGAATGGCGACAGCGCATCCAGCTCGGCCACCGAAAGATGAGCGTCTCCAAAAGAGCTCAAGAGAGCGTGCTGAACATCGTCGGCAGCTTTCGTGGTGCTGTCTGGCGCCTCTTTGAGGATTGGAGCTTGGAGCAACTCGAGAAGGAGGACGCCTTTGAGAAGATGCTGGTGATTCTCGATGGCAACTACGCCTACGCTCAGCGTGTACAGCTGCCAACTGATTTTGAAGGTTACTTCAACTTGTTGCAGCGCCAACCTGGACAGACCCTGCTGATGTATGTGGGCGACTATGAGGAGTCCTACCGCAAGCGATCCTGTCCAAGGATGGCACTTGCTTCGCCGTGCATCGCTCACCAAGGAGCAAAGACAACTCGTCATGCTGAAGGCTCCCTCCTTAGAGAAACAGGCCGTCATTGAAGCGCTCTACCTGATCCTCGGTCAAGACTGTAAGTCTGGTGGGTGGAACCATGACAGAAACAAGCGCTTCGGCAAATGGTCTGGTCGAGCCTATGCCGCACATGATGAGTGGGATTGGGAGGAGGAACCATGGCCCGAAGACACCGGCTACTATGAAGATGATTGGCCAGTTGAAGACTATGAAGAAGAGCCAGCTTTCGATGATGATGCTGGCTACTATGGTGAGGATCCCTGGATGGCTGAAGATTCCAACGAAACAAGCCCTGAGCACCTGGCTGAAGAGTTTGACACAGCCTTTGCAAGCTACACGGATGCTCGTAACCGTAAGCGGTTCAACGACCTCAAAGTGTCCAGAGGATTCCTCCCGGTGGTGGCCCTGACCGATCAACAACAGCCGATGACAGCTGCACCTGCCTCATCATCTTCGAGCTCAACTACCTGGCGAAAAGGAAAAGGTAAAGGGGGCAAGAACAAAGGAAAGGGGAGTAATACCATCCGGTATCCTCCAGGGTGCTGGAAAGTCAGATTTATAAAGGACGTGCCAAAGCAGCGATGACGTGTCTACGCTGCGGTCAACAGGGACATTGGGCTGCAAACTGTCCTCAATCGGCCTCACCGAAGTCAAGTGGTCAAAAGCGACCAGCTCCAACTGAAAGCATGGCCCAGGCCTTTGACGATGAAGCCTCCGAGATCACGATGTTGACCTTCCAAGACAGCTCCGGCAATGAACGACCGGACTGCCTCATGTTGGACCCAGGCGCTAGCGCCTTTCTCTCGGGGTACCAGCCCTTCCGACGATATCTCCAACACCTGCAAGAGTGTGGCTTCCCCGTGGAGAAGATTTGCATGACACAAGGTCGACGCCGGTTCCAATTCGGCGGTGACGCTGCATCGTGGTCCAGCTGGTCGGCACACTTACCAGTGTTTGTGGATGGACGCTATGGCACCATTCAGCTCTTCCTGTTGCCTGGCAACACCCCCATGCTCTGTGGCAGACCCATCATAGAGTCGCTCGGCGTGACAATGGACTTCGCCATGAAGCGCATTCGCATTGGAAGCTCTGGCTGGACCGAAGCCACGATTGGCCGGCAAGGAGAATATCTGTTGTCTCTCACCTCAGATCACGACTTCATCCACTACGACCCGGAGAGACCAGAGTTCACCTTGAGGACAGCTGAACCTGATATGGATCAGACTGACGGTTTCCTCCTTGCCGACTTTGAGCACTCCGAGCACGGCTTCGTGAGCCTTGACCAGGTCAACGACGAGCCCAGCGAAGGCATGCGACAGCTCAAGCGTCACGAACTCAAGACCATGGACGTACAGCTGACCACCCATCTACAGAGATGTCTGCCTATGTCACCAGCCAACTTCATCAACCAGAACAAGCAAAACAGCGAGTCCTATGGGAAGTGTATTGTGGAACGGCTCGCACTGCTGAAGTGGCCGAATCACTGGGCATGACTGTTCGCAAGTTTGGTCCCGAGACAGGCTGGAACTTCGAGCTCCTTCACCATCAACAAGCCTTCCTCGATCTGCAGGACCAAGAAATGCCCGATGAAGTGCTTCTGGCACCTGAATGCAAGCTTTGGAGCCGCATGCAGACTTTGGCAAGACGCACTCCAGCACAACAAGAAGCTCTCATGGCCGCAAGACAACACCATCACGATCGGCATCTCTCAAGTTCTGCCGCAAGGCCTACCTGAAACAAGTTGATGGTGGACGCCATGCACACCTGGAGCAACCAAAAGAAGCTTTGTCATGGAAAACCCAAGCTCTTCGCTCCTTGCCCGGCCGACGTGCTGATTTCGATCAATGCCGCTATGGGGCTACTTGCTTGGATGATGATGGTCACTGGCGACCAGTCCGAAAGCGCACCTCACTGCTCACCACAAAACAGGCAGTACAAGATGCGATGACATTGCAATGTCAAGGAGATCATCAACACTGTGCCTTGGAAGGCTCTGCTCCTGGCTTTGGTGCACGCACTCGCTACATGGAGGAGTACCAACCTGCGATGGCTAGCACACTGACTGCCGCTCTGAGCCTGGATGAACCACCTCAAGTCTGGGAACATGTCTTCGCCACCGAAGAGCAGAAAGAAGTTACATCCAAGCTGGTTCAGTTGCGAGCAACTACCAAGCAGGACGCCATCCGTGTGGTTCAGAGACTCCATCGCAATCTTGGCCACCCGGCACCTTCCGAGCTGACTGATCTTCTGGCAGCACGAGGAGCAAGTGAGTCCATCTTGCAAGCATTGCAAGCCGCTCGCACCTATGTCTGCACCGCCTGTGCCAAGTACAAGAAACCCAATGGCACTGCACCTGCAGCGATGCCTTCCTCCACTTCGTTCAACCAGATTCTCCAGGCAGATGTCTTCTGGATCCGGCAAGATGGCGTCAAGCATCCAGTCATGACCATGATCGACCTGGCCACTCGCTATGTCTCTGCCTACCTGCTCAAGTCAGAACAGACCGCCGACTATGTCAAGGCACTGGAGCGGTCATGGATTGCACACTTTGGTGCTCCACAGCAGTTGATCACCGATGAAGGCCGTCCTTGGCTCAGTCAACACTTCGATGAGTGGACTGCATCCCACGGCATTGAGCACGTAGTGGCTCCCGGAGAGGCACATGAACGTCTGGCTGTGGTCGAACGACGACATGCAGTGCTGCGAAAGGCTGTTGAGGTCTACTGCGACGACCTGAAGGTGAAGGGCAAGTCCGGCATCCGAGAGGCACTGGTCCACTGTGTTCCTCAGATGAATGCTGCTCCTACGGTTGCTGGTTTCTCTCCCTCACAGTGTGTGCTCGGCTATCAGCCACAGCTTGGTGGCAGTCTCTTGTCCACGAGCTTCAAGCCCTCGCACTATGGTGGCCACGAAACCTTTGAGACGATGCTCAACCGGAAGTC